GAATATGAAAAAATAAGCTAATGCATTTTGATAAAAAAAAAAGTGAAAATGAATTAACATGAATAGGAGAGAAACATAAAATCCCGCAAGTTCTCACGCTTTGACGACCGCTTTGCTCCCGCCCCTTCAGCTTCTGCTACATCTTGAGCTCCTCCTCCTCCATCGGAGCGCCAAGAAGAAGAAACAAGACAACACCATGGCAGTTCGCTTCGAGTTCCCGCGTTAATTCCGAGATGGGTCTTCGAATCGCGGGGCACATAGAGAGGTTGAACGGCAAAGAGCTGACTTATCAGGAGTTCGTGGAGAGGTACCTGCGCAAGAATCAACCGGTGGTGCTCACGGGTCTCATGGACGATTGGAGAGCTTGCAAGGACTGGGTCACCCGCGATGGACGCCCCAACCTCCCATTCTTTGCTACCCATTTCGGCAAATCCAGAGTTCAGGTATCGGCTTCGACGAATTCCTCGCATTTTTGATCTGGGCTGTTTGTTCTCGAGTCATTGACCCGTTTGTTGGGTCCGCGGTATGCGAAAGACCCATCTGCAATTGCAACGATGTTCGGTGGTTTAAGGTGGTGAGGGAGACAAACCCATGTCATGATATCGATTGCGTGCTAACTAAATGTCTATTCTTGATCATTTCGAAAGGGTGGTGTCATGACAATTTGGTATTTTGGAGATGAGACTCATGCTTGGAGGTTCACCCCTGCCATTTTGTTTTTATTTAATTGAGCCGTTGTTTCATGAAAGGTAGCTGATTGTGGCACGAGAGAATTTACAGACCAGAAGAGAGTAGAGATGTCGGTCTCGGAGTTTGCTGAGCATTGGCTTATGGGATGCAAGCCGGAGGAAAGCGACATTTCGACCAGTGATAGACCGCCTCTGCTTTATTTGAAGGATTGGCATTTTGTGAAAGTAAGTATTACCTGCCAGATTCAACTCATTAACAGCTGTTGGATGAAAGTATATTCTTATTAGGGGCACCAAAAGGCTGGTTCGGGCTCCTCCATTACCTGTTTGGTTTGTCACCGAAATGATGATTTAGGAATAATAGGTGTATCTTTGCATGAATTGTACCCTACTAAAATTTGAAGATTTGAGTGAAGGTATGATGTAATGGAATAAAACTTATTAAGAATTATAAAAAGTTAAGTTTTGAATGATATACTAGATCTTGGCACGGTATCTATTCATGAAGGGAACAAAGAGTTCTATTTAAAAGGAAGTGACCCTCCTCCTTAAGCTCTTGAGGCATTACCATACATGAACTCTGGGGTGTTGTTTTTGTTCATTTTGCATAGTGGATTATTCGTTGCATATTGCACTTCGGGTTCTTGTATATGACATAATTTAGGGCTTTGCTTCTTTTTTGTCGTTCCTTCAATAGAGATCTCAAAGTATTGTTCACTTGCAGAAAGAATTTTGGACCATTTTTTTCCTCTCTGACATTTTCATTGATCATTAATGTAAATCTCAGGACTATCCCGACTATGTAGCATACACAACACCGGTATTCTTTCATGATGATTGGCTCAACCTGTACCTTGATTGTTATCGTATGCATACGGATCCTGAAATGTACCAAGAGACTGATGATATAGGTTGCTCTGATTACCGTTTTGTTTACATGGGAGCAAAAGGTTCGAGCATGGATGTTACAAGTACCTTTTTGCATGAATTTACCTCATTATCAAAGAAGAAAGAAGGGGGGAGGTGAAGGAAGTTGATTATTCACAGATCAGTCAGACTTTTCTTTGGCTTTGTTCTCAGGATCTTGGACTCCTCTTCATGCTGATGTGTTCAGGTCATATAGCTGGTCTGCGAACGTATGTGGGAAGAAACAGTGGCTTTTCCTGTCTCCCTTGCAGCGTCACCTTGTGTTCGACAGGTTTATAGCAGGATTTTACCCTTTTAGCTAGTAATTAGCTTGACTTCCCGAAAGCTTTTTGTTACAGATTGAGAAATGGGATTGTAATCAATTAACTGTTGTGACCTTTTGGCCATTGTCTACCATTCCACTCCTTTCTCTCTCTGTTTTCTGTTTCTTTGTTGTAATGTACTCATTCAGATACAAGACATGTACGGTTAGGTACTGTGTATTCTCTTTGCTACCTTCATGAATTATGGTTTTATTTGGCTCACCATCCCTTTTCATTCCACTTGTAGGAATATGAAAAACTCTGTGTATGATATCTTCAGCGATGTGAGCGAAATGACCTTTCCTGGTTTTAAGGAGGTAGCAAATGTCTAGAGATATACCAGTTGATTGATTTTCTCATTATTTGTGCTTAATTTTATATGCGAAATTGTAATAATAACTGCAGACAGTCTGGACGGAGTGCATCCAAGAGGAGAATGAGATTATCTTTGTTCCGAGTGGATGGTACCATCAAGTTCAAAATTTAGTATCTCTCTCTCTCTCTCTCTCTCTCTCTCTCTCTCTCTCTCTCTCTCTCATGTGTTTCTGTTAATGCTAGGGCTTTAGTTCCCACTTCTTCGATATTTAATTTCAACTAATGACTATATGCATTCCAACTAGTGGCCGATAGGATGAAAGTTTTTTTGCTGATAGAATGTTAATTTTCACTGAAGTTCTCTTAAAGGTTGTCACATGCCTTTAGATTGCATGAATGTACACTTGATGCTTCACGTTTTGTCTAATATGTATTCCTAATACTTCAGGAGGATACAATATCCATAAACCATAACTGGTTCAATGCACATAACTTATTCTGGATAGTAAGTATCGCCAATTCAGCCAAATAGTGGCATTCAAGATAGAAATGAGAGATGTGGTGAAGCTAATGATGCATTTTACTTGTCATTCTCACAGTGGGATTTGCTCTCAAGGGACTACAATGATGCAAAGGAGTACATAGAGGACATTCGGGATATATGTGATGACTTTGAAGGTCTTTGTCAGCGCAATCTTGCTGCAAATACAGGTATCATTCTTTCTCTTTTCTTCTTTAGTTCAAGTTACTGTCTATTATGCTTCTGTTGGATTTTGCTGTAGACTTCACGGAGTCAGCTCTGATTTTCATCTTCAAGGTAGTCTCTATTGTGAGGTTGAATTTGTGCCTCAATCCATATGAAGTATGCTAAATTGACAATATTGAACTCTGGTTGTGGTTATTCTGTGTTGTGCACTGATATGAAGCTATTCTTTCACAGGCATGAACTTCTACGACTTCCTTATTTTCATAACACGTTTTGCCTTCGCATACTTGGGCCAACTGTACTATCTTCTGAGAGGCGATGATGATACCATCCAGCACTCATCCTTAACAGTGCAGCAATTAGCTTTGAACCTTGCTTCCATAAAAAAGATTGCAATGAAAATGAAAGATGCAGAGGGCTTCGAAAAACATCGAGATATCCTGGATACGGTGGAAACTTTGAGCAATCCCAAGTTCTCTGAATTGAGCATTAAAGTTGGCAACACATACAGAATGATGCTTGAACCACAACCTCGGAGTTGTTGCACAGCCAAAGCCCGCGTTGATGTTCTAGGGGACTTTGACTTTCTCCAAAATTGGTCGCTGGTTTGCACTCCGGGTGATCTAGTGAGTTTTATAGACGATGCTGTTGAAAACCTGAATAGGATAGGCAGCAAAAACAGCATTCATTTGGGGGAATTAGTATGAGGTTATGTTCCCTTGCGAAGATTCATCCCCCACTTTGAACCTTTGAGGTTACTTTCTCCTAAAAATTCTTGTAATGTAACGAATGAAGTACCTCCCGGGAATCTGAAATACTTTAGCCATCAAGAGTCTCTTGTTTTGGTAGAAAAGAAGTGTTGGCATCTACTTGTTAATGCCGTCGATACACCTGAATGCCTAGATGTGTGCAGATGTATAGGCCCCTCAGCATGTGAATTTCGAAGGAATGGAGCAACCGCGGACACCACACAGGTGCGCGCGTGCGAGATAGGAAAGTTACCCCTAATAAATTATGTGAACACTAAGCATCCGGATGGGACACCACCTAATGGAAACCATGGAAATGTCAGGCCGGCTTCTTTTCTAAAACAAAAGCAGCCATGACGACAAGCATGAGATGCAGATGACTCTTTCCTCTTGCTTTTATTTGAGTAGTCCCACTAAAAAGGTAGGTTTAGTTGCTTTTTATGCAGAAGAATCTTTCTATGGCTTTTCCATTCCGGTCACCACCCGCAACTTGCCCACTTCGAATTCCCTGGTGAAAAATTCTGTCTATGAGTACACGGGTTCTTCAATAACTTCCTCAAGCTTCTAGTTTCAATTCGTTTCTTATCTTGAGCCTCGCCTCGCCTCGCCTCACTCATAGACTAAGACCAGTGACTTATGTACTTATTTTTTCCATTCCTGTTAAGATATTCACCGATTGACCTGGATGAATACAGTATTACTATGACATCAAGCAAAGAGAGGAGACTTTCAAGGACCTGAAAATAGACCTCCAAAATATGTCCTTTAGCATATGTTATACTTTATTCATCTCCACATGAATACATGTTGGAAACACCCAAGCTTGGCTCAGATTGACTCTGTTATATGTTCTTATTAGCTTTGCAGAACATAATTAGAAGCGAGCGTACCAGCTTTGGAATATAATTATAAGAAAATGGCACTGAGATACACCACTGCCCTATTTTTGAGCTGTGGCTATTACGCCTATGCCTGGCCGATATATTTAAAAATTTGTTTGTAGCTGCTTCCCACATGCAAAGCCTCAGAGAGAGAGGGAGAGAGCGAGAGAGAGAGAGAGAGAGAGAGAGAGAGACTGTTGTTGATTTCAAATAAAAACACTAACTTAATGGGGATTTCCAATAAACAAACAGATAGATAATGCAGGAGTACAGGTTTTCTCAATTGTCAATACCAAGACAGGGTCTGTACTGTGGGTCACTGCATAGTTTAGTTGCTTATGATATTTTACTGTCTAGACCCATCTGTCTAATCTCTTTCTGTCACTTGTTTCCATTGAAATTGCCAACCATATGATGTGGAAAGACAAAAGTTTTAAGAACCATGACACAAGCCACAAACCAGTATTATTAACACCTCAATCATTTCCCATATACATAGTCCCAAAGTGGGACAATTGATCGGTGACCAGTTAAAAGTAATAATGAAATATCAAAAACGGAAAATTGACCCAAAAAACATGTAAAAACTGGGATGATGATGAGCTAACTCCCTGAAAAATTGGGTGGAAAAAGAAGAATAAATGACACTCTAACCTAGTTCATTCTGTTCACTGTTCATGGACATCTTACATTCCTTCCAGGACCTCCATAGTAAAAGTAAGTCCCCCAGACATTGTTTCGCCCTTGTTTGATATCATAGCAGTTTGGATGATCTGCCAAAAGATGGAGATTCGAAAGAGGAAGTAAATTATTATCCCAGTCCACGACTTGTAAGTTTCGGAAGTAGGATGCTTTCCCGAATCCTTCTTCTGCAAAATGGCCACTACCCATCTGTGTGGATGTGTGAAACCCCCTCGATCTGGTATTAACGATTTCTCCTCCAAACTGCACCATGTCGGCGTGGCTCCTCAAGTGACTGAACAAAAATACCGGCCAATACCCAACTAATAGCCCTGAACCAAATTCCAGCCACCAGTGTCCATGCTTTGGATCCTAGTATTGGAAAGGCGAATGATTGTAAATAATCATCCAAACAGTATTCAATGTTACCGACATCGCCTGTTGTTTGATGTGCTACCCTAGATAAGTCAATAGTGGCAAGCATAATAAGTTTAAACTTTTGGTCGTTTGGATAGACTTGTTGCAAACTTGCATAAGAAAATAGCCACTTGCGGGGGAATGGAAAGATGACTAGATTGGTTTTGCTCTACGAAGCCCCAAAACCAGGCAGAGCAGAGTCAATTTGGATGGATTACTTTTATAAATTCAAAGAAAAACAAGAAAAAAACTAAGCAAAACAAGAAACGCATCTCGAAGAAAATCAAAGAGAATCTCAGAATATATTAGTAAGAACAGTTGAACAGCAGCTGGAACTTCGATGTCAATGAGATTGTTGTAGTCAACAGCTTATTTAACAAATAGCGTTGCCAATTAATGGATCCTTGTGCACATTTGACTACAGTAATCTTCTGCATTATTATATGGAGGTTCAATGCTTAATTCTGAAGGCTTTTCTTCGGAGGGGCAACGTTTTTAGTTTGTAAGTAATGCTATGAACTGAAGGAAAGCTCAAGTGAGAATGACTCATGAAGGCCACTTTGTTTTAATACTAATGAATGAGTTTTAAAAACCACATAATATCAACTAAAACTCACCTTCCAGACCATTACACCAATATCAAATTGTCTTCCAGTGTAGGATGATCTCGGGGAAATTGCAGCACCAATAGCAATTTTGTTGTTAGTCTGGACAAAGCCCGAGCAGAGCAAGTTGTAGCATCCAGTTGCCTGGTATGCATCAGTCTGCAATTTGTATGAGTCGAATTTTCATACATCTCATTGGTTTCTCCTCTATATGGTAGAGTTAACATCGAAAGCTTCCAAGTATGAAATAACTGCATATTACTTACTGTCCAATAAGTGAAAAACCTTGGATAGTTGTCTCCATATAATTCTGGACTGACCTGAATAGAGAGATGCCACAAACTCAGCAACCAAAATGCAAAAGAAACTGTCTAATTGTTAAGGTAACCAAAAGCCGGATTGTAAGGTTTGTTAATGGAAATTTTGCAGTGCTGCCTTTTGTTCTTTTTTTCGTGCTTAAGTTATGTTGCACACTCAGCTTTATCAAGTTACAACATATTATGAAGCCGAGTTGTGATGCAATTGCTGAGAACTCGATGCTAACATCTACCACGAAATGAACTGTGACAAGATAACCCTCGGACTTACCTGCCATCCGGCTTCAATGGTATTAAGGTCGTTGCCAAAAGAACCAGAGATGACCCAGACTTGCGATAAACTGAACTCGTACATGTCCGTGACGCTAGGCGACCACACATTTATGCTTGCCTTCGCCCCAAAATATTGTTGACCATTCACAAAAAGAACTGCATGCTGTAACCAAGAAGATGATCATTTGTTTGCTACTCTAGCAGATATTCCCTTTTATTGCTGAACTCAATAATAAGGTCGAGAGAACAGTATAAACTATTTACTCCTGGCTGTCTTGCATGTTCAGCTTGGAGCGACTCAAATTCTAACTGCACGTATGCTCAAGTATTCCAAATACCAACCTCATGGCCACTGCCTGTTGAGTCTCTCCTCACATTCCTTCTCATTTTTCTTCCAAATCTTTGGATGGAACTGGCTCTCGAAATGTCCTTTTCTGTGGTTCTTCTGATCGGAATGGTTCCTTCTGGGCATGAGTCACCACTGTGTGTCCATAGCTGAAAGGTATTTGCCGCTGCTTCTGCTGATTCATTTCCTCTAGGCCTCTCTGGTGGATCCTGGGCATTCGAAATTTTAAGCTCACAAATCAGTAACACAAATTGGATAGTAACCCCGAAGCTGAATCTGAAAGGTCGGTCTTTTTTTTTGCGGAGACTCTTCAAATTTTTCCCGTCTGAGGAAAGCATTAGAAATAGTTACCAATGGCTTCTGCCTTTTGAGCTCAGGGTGGTCAAAAGCTGGTTGAAGATGGGTGAGAACGCAGTCTATCAAATCACCATCAGGACTCTGTCAAAAAAAGGAAAAAAAAGAACAAACCTAGATCACTAAACGCTTCCACAATAATGTATGAGAAACAGTCCAAAGCCAAAAACAGAGAGAACTGGGAGTGCCTGAATAGTCTTGACTGCTGGTTTGTTGATCTTTCTGAGATAAGCATTGGTGCCGCCTCTCTTCAGCCTCTGTGAATGTTTGCCCGGCTGAAACGTTTGGTTGACCCGGTGGTCATGGACTGAACCCGTTGGGGTGTGTGCTGAGAGGGAAGTGCCAAGTATAGAGGCAACAGTGAGGAAAACAACAAATGTGGAAATTGCAGCAGCAGCAGAAGAAGAAGAGGAAGAGGAAGAGGCCATCTCTGAGGAATGTTGTCTTCTTGATGTTGTTTGTTGTGATGGGGTGTTTTGTGTTTGTATGCATTGAGGTTGTCCTGTTGTGTTTTGGTAAGAAGGGCAGGGTTGGTTTGTTGTGTGTTTTGTAAACGGAAGTGAATCTATCTTCAGATCCCTACAAAACAGAAGCCCCCCCAGTCGAAAGCAGCAAACAAAGAAAAAACCAAGTGGTGGCGAGTTTTTTTTAGCAGTTACACTGCCTCTGCCTCATCATTTCCAACGTATAAACTACTCAAAACTCTCCCCTGAGACAGAGAGATTCTTGGGCTCTCTGCTTTTGCTTCACTTGGTTTTTGTGGTCTCCGACACATGAGAAACTTCAAGCACGAGCGTATTAAAATAGACCAGGATGGGCTAAACTGTACTTTTAGGAGTCTTACCCCACGTAAGCGTTGGGGTCAAAAGAAGAAAAGTTTTCTTCTTGAGAAATTATTCCAAATGACATAAATACCTTTATCTTATCTTTCATCTTCTTAATTACTCGGACACGACCTGCGAAATCGATTTAGTGGTTCAAGAAATGATCGGGACATACTATGTTTCCCAGACTAAATGAGCCCAGATAGTTTTGCCCCCAAGAGTCATTTGCTCGAGTTGCAACCTGCTATTTTTTTTAATCCATGAGATTAAAGGGGTATTTCGTAAAATCTACAATGCTTCAGCTCGAAGACTAAATAGAATAGCCACCGAATGCAGCAACTTTATTGTTAACAACTGTTTACAATTAAAGAAACTTGGGATTGGCCTCCAAGTTGGAGTCAAGTTGGAGTTGAAACCGGCAGGTGGCCAATTCGGTTCTTACTTGTCGGCCTCTGCTTTCACATTGTGGAAGAAGAATTGGAAGGTTCTTCATATTATTATTTCATTTCCCTTTCTCTTCTTTTCCTTTTAGATATGTTCAATGTCATAATAACAAGAGATTGTATGAAATGAAGCTGCCTATTCATTGTCTTCATTTGTGTCTGCTTTTCCCCCCTTCTTTTTGCTTGAAAGTGAATACATTGATAGTGACAATAAAAATTACTTGGTAGGTTGTGTATCGAATGATACTTCCACGCACATGATCTCTTTCAAATACTAGCTACCAGGCCCCCAATTTCTCCCAACTCTATTTCTATTTTGTTTAATCAAAAGGGGGGTTGTGGGGTAATTGCGCATCACGTGCCTCTGGCTTTTTTAATGCCTTAAAAGAAAGTTTGCGTTGGGAGGCCTGAAAGTGAAAGTCACTATCTCTTGTCCTTTTATTAGGTGGTCAAGGGCCAAGCCCAGGCCATACCTTCTTCCACCACAGCATGCCCTAAAAGACTCATCCTGTACACGCTAGTATAAAGTGGCACACATCAGATGGGCAACTATGTCCTATAATCCTTAGTTTTTTTTTTTTTTTGGTCGGTCCTACTCTATCTCTCACTCACGATACACACTCAGACTTGCGTCCCACCTTGTGTAGGGCGTGGATGTCGAAACCCACATCTTAAATTACGCGGCCCACCCCTATCCCCCTGCGAAGGTGGGGATTCGAACTCCCCACCTCCCCATGAGATCTACTAAAAGATGCAAGATACGCCCTAGTTGACCAAAAATCTACCTATTGTCTCGATGATGCAGAGAATAAGTGATGATAGATTAAAATAACAAGAAAAAGGACATTCTTCGAACCTAAAATCTTCGACACATATGAGTTTCTAAATATTAGAGTGTGTTTGGTAACTTGCCAAACAGTGATTGATTCTACTCTTTTGTTCCCGGAAACAAAAAAAGAACAAAAATTCATTTAGTAAATTTTTTGTTCCCGGGTCCAAATTTGTTCTCAGAATCAGTTTTGGAACAAAATCAAGAAACAAAAATTGCTTCTTGATTCCGGGAACAAGAACCAGAAATAGAAGAGAAATTTTTTTTTTCTTTTTCTTCTTTCCTTCCTGGTTGCGGTCGGCGAGGGCGAGGGCTGGACTCTCGTGGCCTGGGCGAGGGCCGCCCTCGCGGCCTAGGAGAGGATCGCCCTCGCCGGCCTTTTCCAACCCTTGCCCAAGCCGGCGAGGCCACCCTCGAGGCTCGTGGCCTAGGCGAGGGATTTGGCGAGGGCGGCGGCAAGGGTGCAACCCTCGCTAGATCCGGCGAGGACGGCCCTTGCCCTCCCCGGTGAGGGCTGGAAAAGGTCGGCGAGGGCCACCCTCGCCCCTCGTGGCCTGGGTGAGGGTTGGACCCTCGCCGCTGCCCTCGCCAGATCTAGTGAGGGCGGCCCTCACCCAGGCCGCGAGGGTCCAGCCCTCGTCCTCGCTAGCGAGGGACCCGACGCCCTCGCCGGCCACGACCAAGAAGGAGAAGAAGAAAAAATAAATAAATAAATATTAAAATATTATTAATAAAAATAAATTTTGTATAGTTACCAAATGCATTTCTCTTCTTTTTCTATTCCAGGAATGGAAATTTTGGGCTGTTACTAAACGCCTTCAAATGTTTAGAAACTGTTTGCGGGAACATAATAAAAAAAAATCATTTCTGAACAGAAATTGTTTCTGGAAACAAAATGGTTACCAAACGCATCCTTAGAATATTAATTGATGGTAAATTATATGTAGAGTGCCAGCATGTCATAATCATGTGGTCTAAGCTTTGTTATTTCAGGCTATAATAAGTTGTGCTATATACTTAGAATGTATATAATTCTTTTCACGTTACCCTAGTGAAATAGGGTTGATCGGTTTCAAAGTGAATAGGTTCCAGACCTAGAACTTAGAACCTACCCTATCAGGGTCAGTTCCCAATTTTTGGAATAGGGAACCAACCGAGCTAACCATGGAAACAATCTAGAGTCGAACTAGCCAATTCCAAAGTCAATTTACGAACATGCCGAGGAATTTTTGTTTTCCTTTTTCTGTTTCGCTTTATTATATACGTTATGCAGGTGTCAAACATACATACAATTCTTTCTACTTGAGGATAATATGTCAAGCATATTCCATTATTTGTCTGTTCTTAGAAAAAAGGTGTAAAATAACTTACTTAGGGTTAGAGATAAACCGATTCGATTCCAAATTCTACTCTGGAACGGCCTTGCAGGTTTCAAATTTAGGTTCCTGAGTACAACCAACCGGTTAATGATATAGAACCGAGAACCGAGCCTTTCAAGGCTAGTTCCTAGTTTTTGAAATCGTAGAACCGGACCCCCTAATTAGACTCTGTCGAAATTTCATAATTTCGTTTGGGGCTAAAGAATAATCTGCCTCGGATGTCTCCTAAAGACATCACAAGCACCTAAAATGATGTGCCATGGTCCACCAAGCCGAAAAGTCGGTGTCATAATTTGGCAATTGATTGTCCAATGAAAATCTTACCTGTGGTAAAGAGGGTGTCCATACTTCGACCGAGAAATAATTGGCGAGACATCATTAATTCCTAGTTGATTTCGCCTACTCCTGCTCCTCTTTTTGTTCTCCATGCATGTAATAACAATTGCCTCGTGCAAAGCAATAACTTTAACGAGAGCCTAATTATTGGACAATTGCAAGTCCATACACTTGAAAGTTTCAATGATATTTGTATGTATGTGCATTTATAGGTCTAAAGCCAACTTTCATATTTGGTATCCACTTTTTATATAACTAAGTACCATTCTCTCATCTCAATATAGATTCAGTAAAGAGAACGCTATACATCATTCATAATTAAAATTCGATACTTTCGTGCTGTTACCTAACAAACCTCCTTTTATGGGGGTACACGTATTCTCATTTTTCAAATTCATATCGATATTCTCTGCTAAAAATTACCCAAATCTATCTTGAGCCGGGCATAGGTATAGCACTGCAAAGGAACTAGTGCATACAAATCAAATAATCATAAACAGCATTAAGAATTTTCTTGAGATTGTTCATGCCCGGAGACACAAAGTTATGGGGCACATAACCTTGGCCATCCTTTTAGGATTTCTAGTGCTTATATGAATAATGGTCGCTTTCTGCCACTTCGGAAAAGCTCTCTTTATCCTCTGCAGTTCTCTCTTCTTTTCACAAGCACCCCACTAAGACTCTCTCCCTCTCTCTTTCATGCAGAGAGAACAAAAAAGCAGACTTTGAGTATGAATGAATCAATGTTATTTTAAAGTATATAAAAATGAATGCTATTTGTCCAACTGGGAGTCACTCCCATCCCATCTCAAAGAGCAGAGAGTGGAGCCGTGCCCACCTTTGCATATAAAGTTGGTCCTTCACAAAGAGAGAATAGATTCCATCCCCGCGGCCCCATGAAAATGCTGAATTTCTTTATTACAGTTTGCTTCTTTTGAAAGCATCTTTTCGAAGAGAGCTGGATGTTATTGCTTCCAGCAATCTCATTAAACATTGTCATACCTCTCCCACTTGGTGTGTCACTGTCTTAGATTCATATCGATTAGTGTTCTCAAGATAATCCTATGATACACCTGCGTTCTTCTCGTTTAACAGCATGAGAGGTGACTGTTGCCTTAACCCTTTGTTTATCTCATCCGACAATATTCTTCGGGTAGTGAGACTCCAACACATGAAAATTTGAGCCTAGCAACCTAAGTGAGTTGCTGGGTTATGGCTTTAAGTATATGAAAGTTGCCCACATGCCTTAGACTTGAAGAAAAAGCTGACAACGAAACCATGCTTTCCCATAGTACATTCGAATGGGAAACTTCCTCCCCTGTTCTTGCAACGACAACGTTCGAGGACAAATGAGACTCTGCTATATAGTGACACAAGTATGGGGTGTCTTGTGTGCATTCGATTAACCCATCCATGGGTATTCAAAGTGTCGTGAAAGACACGTACTCGAACTTATGATCAAGTTATATCTTAATCTTTAGGGAACAAGGAGATTAAATTTTTCATTATATTAAAGCTGGAGAGAAGAAATTATGGGCACATCGTATAGTTTTGGGGTTTTTGTGAATACAAGCATGCATGGTTTTAATTCCATCCATGACGGGATAGATAAGAAATATGCGGAAAAGAGAAATATGGAATTTATGTGTATTTTTGTATTCAACAATAAAGAGTACATGAGCCTATAACTAAGTTTTATTAGATAATTATCTAAGGTAATATATCAATTAAAGATATGCATAATTGAAAGGAGATATATGCACAATTCTGAAAGATGTGGAGAATTAAGAGAAATATTTGTATTATCTCTAACAATGGGAAATATCTTAGAGAAATATTTTTAACATCTCCCCTCAAACACGGTGTGTATAGAAGATGTCAACTTGAATTTGGATAAAAGATCAGAAAAACGCCTAAGTGGCTCGCCGTTGACATAGCTGCTTACGTGGTCATTGTGTGTTGTCATGGCTGCTGCGCAA